TTCACAGGCCGCAAACCGAGATGGATGATGAACAACGAACCATTGAGAAGGAAGCAATATCAAAGACAGGGATCAGCTCTCTCTTTTGACGCTAACAAGGAGCTGGGGCCATTGCATCTTTTTTTCGTCGCATTCAATCGTGGAAGCGAAAAAGCGATATGCGTTCAGCAGGTACTCGCGACCAATGTACCTTCTCCAATTCCGTTGCTTCTCCAGGCTCCATGGACGATGCTTACCATCCGTGGCTGTCCATGGAGGCTTTTGATGCAGCTAGGAAAGGATAGTCTAGCCCATGCTTACTCACGCCTGTCTCTCGTTAACAACTTCCATACACTGCTGCCTCAATCTAAGCTCCAGAGCTTCCCGTCTTGTGATACAAGTATCAAGTTATCACATATTACACTGGATGGAAGACACGGATACCTCTACTGTTTTAGATGATCAAGGTTGCAAATCTGAATGCTAATGATATTCAAGCTGAGGTAATGGCGTGCTCTAACTCATGCTAGCTTAAGCCATTGGCCGGCCATTGACTATCGCCAACTCCTGGACAGTGAGAACGAAATATGTTGCTGTATACTTATTTATTTATTAGTTGCCAAAACAAAGTCCTCTAAGCAGGCAACTGATATTAATTGTCGGCCCAAAAAGACCTGAGTTCATTCCGAACTGGAATAGACCGTTTTCACGATTTAGTTGTTCGACAGCCTCCAATTACCAATTTTATACTCAGCCCTGCTGTTGACGAAACTCTTTGGGGCTCTCCGCGTAATGGTTCAAGTGTTCACAGCTTCAAGCGCTTCGGGTTCAAGGGTCAGCTTCAGATACCACCTACCTTAGTCCATTTACAGGCCATAGGCGCGCGCAGCCCATCCCGTCACTCAGGAGACATACACACGACCAGGGTCATAGTGACCCCACGAAACACCTACACTTTTCCCTTGTCATTTTTGCTGCATCTCGACGTTCACTCGGATGTAGCGGAAGATGGTTTCTCGTCGAGGGTTTACACAAAGGAAACCGTTTGAACTCTTCTGGCCATTGAGCGAATCGACAGCCAATTAGATCTATTTAGCGCGGCAAGCCTCATCGTCATGACGGAGACGTCCTGCTAGAGGGAAAAGAAGAAGGTTATGAACTAAACACATCCTCGGTCAAAAGCTTTGTTCACTCCGACTCCGACGCGGAGTTTTCAGTGTGCTGTGCGACACTAAAAAAAACCAATGGAGGAGGCTCTTAACGGTCGCTCGGGTCTTATTTGTCAGTGCATGAGGCGCGCGCCCCGAGGTGAGACGAGGCGCGAGGCCATAATGCGAGGAAATTGAACGTGGATATAGCGTGGATCCTCCATTCGGGACGGAAGAGAATAAGCAGAACGAGCAGTGGAGGCTCAGGGTCTGAGAGAGATTGGGAGGGTCTCAATGAACAGGGATACGAAACTCATCCAGTCCCCTGGACAGAACATGCTGATTGCTGTCTTGTCGCAGCGCATGATCTTAGTGACAAACAACCTGATCAGTATATTGCCATTTCCTCGCAATCTCTTTAACACGTTGTCGATTCAGCCGCCCGTGCACGGATTCAAATTGATTGAAACACCCATGCCACAGCTGCAAAAGCCAAGGTCGAGTTGAGGCGGACTGGCCCAAGTTCAGGAGATCGCCAAGGGTCCCCTACCTGAGCACGAGACACCGTCACTCACGATGCGCTAGTCAATTGGGAATATGATGGGATGAGTTAGGTAGTTTCAACTTTCAACCCAATCTCAAAGGTAACCTAGTTCTAAGTTTCTTGAATAATCATGCTTAATAATATTGCAAACGAATGTGTTCATCAGAGAAGGCAAGAAATACATCATGTCGGTTGGCCTGATATGTAGTATTATTTAGGCAGAGTCTTGGCCTCGGCTGTTACTCAATATGCTGTTAGTGTCTGACACTCCATGATAAGCACATGCTGAGCTTCAGTTGATAGGCTTATTCTAAGCTCATCTGCTTTGGTCTTCTTGCTGATGCTGCTCGAGTGCCTGGCCAGAAGCGAGAGGATGTGTAGTACGTGTCTGATTGGGGAACCCTTGTCCAGACCGCATTGTGTGAACACAGGTATGATGACTGCTGAATACTGGTGCATGCCTTTCACCCTACCTACCTACACTGCTACAGGGCATGAAAGACCAACACGGTATGCAAGCACACGCCAACAGAGACTAATGCCCAATCAGAAATGCATTATAGTTGATTTTTACTGGACAAACAGTGATGACTGCTACTCTAGCTCCAGATCGATGCCCTCGTGAGCGACAACTCCAAGGTATATCATGGATCAGGTATCATGATGCCAATAAAAGCCTGGTTTAGAAGCCCAATACAGAGGCGGTCAATGCGACGGCATCCGAGCGAGCCGCCATAATACATACTTAGGTAGGTAGCATGGGATCGAGGATACTGCCGGCCCAAATGTCACCATCCTCTCTTGCCTGCGCTGCTGTACTTGGGCTGAGATCTGGGTGAAACAAAGCAAAGTGCAATTAACAACTTAGTTACCTTACTAACCGAAATTTTCGTTCTTGAGCCCCAAAAATCGATCATGACGGCCGATTACCTTAACTTAGCAACTTAGGTAGTTCCCACAGCGGGTTCAATCTTTACGAAGTCCGCCGAGGTCCCACCTAATTCAGGTCCATCGAATTTTGCTTTCCGCGTTTGGTTCATTGACTCGGCCGATTTCTTGAGACTTTTTTTTTTTTTAATCACTCATTAATTTTGGGCAATGTCCGTTCAGAAGTCGGGTCTCGGCCCATTGACTGAAGAGAAGAAGAAAAGAAGGAAGGAAATTTTAGCACCTTTCTCAGTCGCGGACCCGCGGTCGGTAGTTTTCGGCCGGCGTTTCCATGCAGTCGGGGTCCAGGAGAATACCGACCGACATTGGCATGGGACGATAATCGATGCAACGAACGAACGCGTACAGTATTGCCGTTCAGTCTCCTGATATGATTGATTGCCTGCATGAAGATTCCCGTTGTCCGAAACTTTCCAAGTGCCCGTGTGTGCGGTTCCTTCGAACTTTGGCTCGCTTCAACTTTATCAGACCATATGTATATACCTTACTTTCTATCGTTGCATCGTTGCACTTTAATGATATCGTGCAAGACACGTGGTTAATGGTTGTCCCCAGCTTTCTGCTGCGTGACATACACCTTGTCTGCATTCCGCTATTAAGTAGCATGTTCAGTGATGCGTCATGTCGTCTTCAACGTTTTGTAACACTTTGTTGTTCAAAAGATAGATGTCGCAAAAGGTGCGAGGCCAGGAAGTGAGACATAGCATTCCTCAGTGATCGATTTGACTCGAGTTTGCCAGATTCGAGCAGAATCCTTGTTGTTACGGAGTACATACGCTAGTATTGTTCAAGGACGCTATCCCAGGGTTACTTAAAATGTCTTACATATTAGTAGCCAATTGCTTTGATATTCATTGGCCAAGTGACCTCGTTCGTGACGTCTTGCTCCCACATCTGAATGGCAGCCAGAGACCGCAACCAGCGCCGATCGGCTCTTATCATCATTATGGACTGGTCTCCGCCGTCAACTCAACCTGGACATCAGCTCAATACCCTCTCTAGCCTATAAGGCCGGCGGTGAGAGACGTATACAGTCTACCTTATCCTTGAATGTTGGCGTAGGTCTATAGCTTCAACTTACATGCATGATCCTACAACTCTTTCAGGCATCATCAAATCGACCGCCCAGTTATGCATCGTGGCACTGGGGATTCAGATCTGGCATCGACTTCAGTGACAAGTATACATGACTCTCGTATTTTCTATCATTCCTCATGTATTTTAGATATTATCAGTCCTTCCTTTCATCCCTAAGATGCAATGGCGTCAAAACATGGCGGCATATGAGGCTCTAAAATAGCGAACGTCATCGTGATATTCCTACCAAGGACACCCTAAGGTGCTGTTGAAAGGGGGGTGTCTTTCCGAAAGGCAGACTAAGGAACCTTACATCGTCTCTGACTTGACTCTGCCGCTTGCCGTTAGGGACTTTGGGGAATTGACTTTTCTCATGAATTCAATGGCTTGTGGCGAGGATGATCGTTTCATATTCTGGGTTGTCCACATATAAGAGAGTGGCTCGGTGGCTGAACTGATGGCTGCTCATTGGCATTCCCATATTTTCGAAATATAACGGTGGCTTTGAGCTGAATAGGAAGGAAGCGAATTAGCTTCCAATAAGTCTCTTGCGAGTGGCATGTTATTATCTATGTGTGGTGATAGCTTCACCAGGTTTGAAAGGTACAGGGTAGGTGTATATGGCAGTACAGAAGACAGCGGTTTATATGGACGAACCGCTTATGATTATGGCTATAAACTTCGCTGTATCCGTAATAGCTCATATACTATCGAACACAGGTTAAGACATTAATTAATAGTGACAACCTCTGCCGGGCCTATTACAATCACAAGATGCATTGCGGAACCAAGGTTTGTTTGTTTTGACATTGACTACACTATCTCACAAACATCCTTCTATCGAATGATGCTGATGCCCAAAAGCCTAGCTAGTAAAGATTCACGTGAATCCTTGCAGAAGGGAGATCTTTTTTCGAGTCTCTCCCTTCGTCACTCCTCTTACACTATCCTCAGAGACCTCAACCCCTTTTTCTTTTCCGTTTGCTACCAAAATGCACCACCAACGCCATGCCGCTGAAATCCAGAGACAAATGTCTCGCCGCGGGTTTGAAATGCTTTGCATGATAAAGCCATGCGAGAACAAAAGGCAACATCTCTTATGCGCATCCAATACCATATGCCTCTCGCAATAACTGACAATGCCCATAATAGTATAAGGTATGCGGTGTCAGATAGACAGCGATGCATATCGATAGCCTAGGCGCTAAGCTTTCCGAATTGCTGTCATATCGAGCTCTTTACTACTTCCTGCAGGGTCTGCTTTTACCCCTGCCCTTTCGAGGACCGTTTTTCCCAGCAGAACGCTATTCCGAGGAAGATAGAGGCACAGGGGGGACTACAGGGGTCTCCTTCTTGCCCGAGGGAGTCTTCTTGCCATCTTTGTCCTTGCGCTTTCTGGCTCGTTTCTCCTTACCCTGGCTAGGTGAGGCAGGAGGCTGTGAGGCAGGAGCGCGTGCAGGGGAGGACCTGGGAGGGGAGGAGTGGGGGATAGAGGGTATGGGGACCACGCTCTGTCGGGGAGCAGGCACAGAAGCCTCCTTGACTTTCTTCTGCTTCTTGCTGCTTGTAACAGGCGTGGAAGCAGACTTGGGAGTAGGGGTTCCCACTGTGGGGATTGCGGGAGGCAAGACTGGGGTGTACTTCTTTGCGACTGTAGACGTTGGCTCAGAGCCCAGGTCGGGGCTTCCAGCTCGGGCTGTCTTTTGCTTCTTGGACTTGCTCGCTGCAAGCTTAGCCTCCTCTTGAAGTTGCTCGGCTACGGCGACGGCATCATCTTCAGAGGCTGCTAGCTTTCGCTTGTTCTTGCGCGATTCAGAAGTGGGTGCTTCGGTGGTCCGGGAGCTGGGGGGCTCGGGAATGCTCTGTCCCTTCTTCTGCTTCTTGTCAGAAGTCTCCTTTGACTTGCGCTTCTTTTCCTTCTTGGCAGCTTTGGTCGACAGAACGGGTGCATCGCCCATCTCGACGTCCTCATCATCCCCGATGCTTCCCATGGGTTCGTTGACTCCAATGGGTTGGTATCGAGCCTTTAGACCAGCGGGCTGAGCACGAGGGGCTGGCTTGGGAACAGGAGCGACAGAGTGAGTGGAGCCAAGTTGTGTGATCTTCTTGACCTGCATAACTTGATCAATCTGCTTGCTGACTGATTTATAACTTAGTGGAGAACATAAAAAACGTGACGGCTGGGAACTTACCGGGCTGGTATTGAGGGCGATCAGAGGGAATCATGATTTGGATGTTTCCCTTGGGGGCAATACTCTCGAAGGAGACACCATAGTCCTCGCCATTGTGGGAAAACAGCTTATCGGTAGACTGAGATTGGTTCATGGGGATCTCAAGATTCTGAACAACTGAGATGGGCACATTGGAAGGAACTGTGAAGTACCAAAATTGCTTGCCCTCCAGGTTCGCCTTGTTGCAGATCTCAGCAACATCGCGGCCGTTTGTGCCATCATCGCCCTTGCGAAGGACGAAGTCGGGAGCAATGAAGTTGGGGAGGGCGAGCTGTCCTTGGCGATCCTCAATGTGCATGGATTCATCAACCATTTCATCATCAGAATCCTCTTCCTCGTCTGAAGAACTGTCTGACTTGGGAGCGACAGGCTTAGCGGCAGGTTTCGCGGCAAGTTTCACATTCTGCTCTTCATCCTCGCTTTCACTGTCACTGGAAGAGTCGCTGGTAGAGGCAGAATCTTCTTGCTTCTTGGTGGATAATTTGGGTGACTTATCGTCTTCCTCATCGCTATCACTGTCGCTCCCTGACTCCGAAGAGTTCGAGGTGCTCTCGGACGCCTTTGCAGGAGTTGTACCGTTAGCCTTTGCTTTGGTCTTTTCGTCGTGAGATTCGTCTTCGCTGCTCGAATCGCTAGAGGATCGAGCCTTAGACTTGGCAGGAGCAGCATTTTTCACAACAGTGCTCTTTTTGGACGCGTTGCGCTCGGCATCGCTATCGGCGATTTCATCATCTTTGCTACGACGGCGTGGAGTAGCAGAAGCAGGTTTGGTGGTACTGGTGAGTTTGGAGATAAAATCGGCCGGCTCATCGCTGCTACTATCGCTGTCGCTTCCGCTTCCTGACTCATCATCGTCATCCCCATCATTGTTGGCGAAAATGTTGTTTGGGTCGCTCGACTCTTTCTTGATACTTGTAGCACGGTTGCCGGGGCGGCGGTTGAACTGCGCTTCAGCCGATAGTCCCTTCTTTGTGTTCTCTATGTGCTTATTGAGAGAGTGAACTTTGTAGGGTTCCTTAGGCGCCATCTTGGGCGGACTTCTCTGTGAATCTTTTCGAAGGTGAGGGTGCAATTGTTGGGACGAGGTTGATCGAGGTGAAGATGAAGTTGCTGGAAAATAAATTTTGGGAGATGCCGCGCTAGTGGGGCAACACACTAAGTTATCCTGGGTTAACTGTAGACAGACGCGCCTCTGTCGTGTAGATGCCCGGTGATAGGGGACGCGAGATCAATGAGACTGAGCACAAAAAAAGAAGAATAGGCGTTAAGCAATTCAAGTGAGTGAGATAGCGAAAAAATCCTAGATATCAACAAGTCGTTGGCACTATCCCTTTTCATAGGTACAATTAAACACCGTCAAGTGAACAGAGACCCAGGTAACGCGAAACGATTTTTCCTTATCGATAAGACCGTACGCACCTTCAAGATGATTTAGCCTTGAGCGCACGACGTTCATCAACTCTATGATAGCTAAATAATGACTCTCCAGTGACTTATTGCTTCATGTTTATTTGACTTGACTTATCATAACTATTCAACGTCACCATTTGAAACTTACCTTGCCCATTCTCAGCCATGTCCTCTCACAAAAAACGAAGAATTGAAGGTTTAGATGCAACAAAGCGTAAGTGTTAAACTCTTTGCCTGGGTCTTTCGATCGTGCTAAATCACACAATAAAGCAATGAGTGCTATTGCTGCTCTTGCTGCTCGGCGGAGAGAGGCTGCGGCCTCTTTGACGTCCGCGCAACAATCCTCAGAATGCGACGAGGAACAACCCACCAGCAACGTCAACTACTTCAGTCCACTCCAAAAGGGAACCAGTCAAGTCGGAACTCCGTCAACTCCTAAGAAAAGTGCAGTAAAGACTCCTCGGTCACAGCGCGTAACTGAGTCGCCTGCCGCACATCCCAAGAGCAACGAAATGGCAAGGTATGTCCCGGCATCACCAGCTTCGACATCGCTCATCAACTTCTCAGTCAGCCATCGGGATCTATAACTCCTGAACCCGGGACAGTTCAAAGGGCCATGCCGTACTCATCCTTTCGATTATCCGATCAAAACCACCGAGTTAGGAAGGGAGGGGTGGTAGAACTACGACTTTCTAGCAAAGAGGTAAACTTCATGCCTTGCTCTTACAAGTCTCTTGACTGACTTAGCAGCGATTCCCAATCATTGGAAGTTTTGGTCTCAAAGTGATTCAAGGTGAGGTAGTGTTGGCTGGTGCTACTCTCTATCCTGCTGAAACTATTGAATGGGTTCATGCCCCTTACTGCCATGCAGTGCCCGTGTTACGGACGAAGGAGCAGACGAGACTAGAGTTGCATCCAGATAAAAATGCTCAAGGTTTGCGCCAGTTGGGCCGTTTATCACCTCTATTCAGGAAAATGTGGAACGAACCACCTGAGGGAGACTCAGCCAAGTCATATAAAGAAACAACTTTTCAGATTGTAAGTTTTCCCTATATCCCATGACAGTGTTACTAATGCTCTTCTAGGTCCAAACGCCGGAAGATGCCCCTAAGAAATGCATCATCCAGGAGTTAGACTCACTAGCTGCGTGGAACAGGAAACTTTCATCCCTGGTGACGACCAGTCGAGAGAAGCCGTCTCTTTCAACGTTGATATGTGGCCCGAAGTCGGCCGGAAAGTCTACTTTTTCGCGATTGTTTCTGAACCGGCTTTTGACAGATCGATCTCATAGACAGACTCTGCGAGGTGTTGTGGTGATGGACCTAGATCCAGGCCAACCGGAATATGCGCCAGCTGGGACTTTGTCTCTCGTGTTTGCGACGAAGCCGAATCTAGGGACACCATTCACACATCCGGGCATCAGAGACGCTGCGTCGAACGTTGTTCGTTGCCATTCAATGGCCTCCGTAACACCAGCGTCCGATCCCGATCTCTACCTGGCATGTGCGGTCGATCTATTTGAAACGTACAACAAAAGATTTGCGGGTGTTCCTCTCATCATCAATACACCGGGATGGATTCTTGGAACTGGGCTCGATCTTCTCTGTGCCCTGGTCAGGATGATGAAGCCTGAAGAAGTATTATATTTGTCTGAAGATGGCCCCTCTGAAACAGTCGATGCGTTACGGGCTGCAGCAGAAACCACGTTTACGGAATTACCCTCCCAGCAGTCCGAATTTACATCGAGAACTGCTGCTCATCTGAGAGCGATGCAGACCATGTCCTACTTTCACTTGCAAGAACTAGCTTTGACGACTACGAAGCAAACTGATAACAACCAAAGGTTGAAATGGAACCCATCGCCACTTTCTTTCAGACCACCCTTACTTGTACGATATTCCTCCAAGAAAGGGATCTTCGGTTTGGTATCCTACGATTATCAATGTCCGCCGGAGTTATTGGCCGATACACTGAACGGACTGGTTCTGGCAGCAGTTGAGATAGAGGATGTGAAAGCATTTTCCGGATTCACCCAAGACCAGGTCTCTGCCGATACATCATCGAAGCTCACGAAACTTGACGCAGCAAGCAAAGATGAGGATCTCCAGATAGTATCGTCGAGCCCGGAAGGCATTCCTTTCATCCCCAACTATAATGACGCTGCTTTGGACCCCCGGTATTCTCGAACTATTGGGCTGGTTCTCCTGCGAGGTATTGACACAAAATCACACACATTGCAGCTTACCACACCAATTCCAGCGGAAGAGTTCAAACGCATCAAATCTCAAGGCAGAGACATCGTTTTGCTTCACGGCAAGTTTGATACCCCAAGTTGGGCCTATACCGAAGATCTTTATGAGAGAGCTGGGGCCGACGAGGGCAACGACACAATACTTGAAGTTACGGATGAGGATACAGACGATGATAGGTCAGAGGCTGAACCAGAAGACGTTGACAGAGTTAGCGATTTGACAGAAGTTCCCTGGGTGGAGGTGCTGAAAGGGAGCCAGAAGCGGCCAGTTGGCTCAAGAGTTTGGAGGGTCCGTAGGGATCTAGGCCGCAACAATGCTTGAGACTAGTCCGCAAGAGTACTGGGAGTCAACAGATCGGCGATGATGGTGGCTGCGGCCATCTGCTACCACTCGCTAGCGACCGTTAACCACCCGAGGGTGGGGTTTTGAACCGGCACTTGAAAGCAATTGCCATGTGGCGAGCTCGGCATTGAAGAACTAATGACGAACTGGCTGAGCCGAGACTTACTGACAAGATTGGTCAGCCTCAACTAGGAATCTAGTTAGTTAATAGCTCACACAAACGCTAGGACGATCCTAAGTGGAAGGAAGTGAAGCAGGTCTAAGTCGGTGAGGCATGGATGCTAAAGAAGAACAAGTCGCGATGATGAGTTGGAACTCATCGCAGCCCTTGGGCCAGATTAGCCAACTCCTTGACGTGTCAGCTCTCGGCCTCAGACATTGGCCTGATGTAACATCGTTCCCACTTTTGGCTTGTTTCGAGAGCATGATATGGAGTAGACGACATGTCATAAACAACCTCGTGGTCAGATTGACGCCATGCACAATTCACTAGTCTCGGTGAATGGAACAGTACCAATACTTGTAGTTACACAGGGAATACTGGCACTAGCTGAAGTCAGGCCATTTTGGCAGATTCTAGACCGAGTTTATCAAGTTCCCCGAAGAATAGTATTGAAGCAAATTCCGGAAGCTGCCAATAATCATCCTGCTCGTGGAAGTCGAGATGAGTGATCTTGCATGACATCCTTAGCATCGCCTAGCATCAATTGGTCGTGAACTTGGGCATGCCAAAGCTGAAGCCATGATTTCGTTCTACCGACTCGTTGTGCGTTCATATGAGAGCCCAGATGCGCCAGCTTGCATAAGTTTGCTCTTGTGCCCCGCTTATGACCTGACCCGATAAATCTCGGGAATCGAGGGGTTCTTTCGGGTGCATTGGCTGGCATTTCAGGAACTTTTTAAAGGATTGAGGGTTATGATATATGCGAATATGATGGTGTTTATCATCAGACTGGGAGTTCTTATACTGTTACGAATCCGCTCCTTCTCTTTTTACTCTGATCCATAGATCTTCTCTTATTCTTTTACTTTACTAAGGGAGTGGCGCCTTCTCCTATCTTGGCTTTCCACCAGTTTTTAGCTCAACATTCACGCCTGCCATGGGAAGGTTCAACTTGCATCAGATACCTCAGATTGTCTCTCAATACCTTATAACCGCGTTTTCTCCGGATTGGTCCTTTTGGCTTCTCCCTCTTGTTCGCTCAACAAATATACGATAATAGCAGCGCAATCTCCACCAAGGAGTCACTCAAACTCCGAGCTATCCACTTCCTTTCCTAGAAAGCGGCCATCTGCATACGCGTGAGCTATACCGAGTGTCAAAATGGAACCTCCGCGCGTCCTTGCTTTGAATTTTGATGCCCAAACCCCATGCTTGCAGCCAGAGACAAGAGTCCTGTGCCCTCTTACTGGACCTCAGATACGACATCTCGAGACAATGGCGCTGACTAGGGATGCAGCAACCCAGTGAGCTGCATGGAGGAAATGAGCCAGCAGATCTGGCCACTGGATTGCACAGTAGGGTTCGACCTTGAACACACAATTCCACAAACTTTCCGGGGGTCGGTACTAGTCTCCGAAGCGATTACATTACAGTAGCCCGTTCACGGATGCGCCATCGCACAGTCATCGGCAGACGAAGTAACGAGCCCTTACACACGGCGGATGAGACTTCTTCTTTCGGATGTCGTTCGATTTTACGCCATGATATGCGAGTCTGAGGCGCAGGATCTGCCTTTCACGCATGTAAACGTGCCGGCAAGTTCGGACGAAGCATGAAAAAAGCATGAAAAACTCGTGGTGGAAGCTTGGGGCAATCGTTTGCTCGAGGCCAAAAGCAACCACCGCCATGCGTTTACCTCACCGCCTCTCAACTCCCCACGCGCCACATGCGATAGTACGACTTTAGATCAGTTCACTTGCAACGGCGCGCCGTTGTAACTTTAGCTCGAGTTCCGGACCCTCATAGTACCCTTGTTGCATAGAAACTCTCCACCGCCATGACGTTCGAGCGTTGGGCTTC